TTTTCCCTCCATTTAAAGAATTTTAGAAAATAAAAACCACAAATAAGTCAAATATAGATGTTGACCTAATCCAATAGAAGACATGATGATTTAACAGATTGAAACCAGCTGTTTGAGATGTCCGATGACCAGCAGTCGATGGATCCCACTGGCCATCACATCATGGAATTATTTCCACTACAAATCAACATAATATCTAGACAAAATCAATATATATATATATATATATATATATATGTATGTATATATATCTTTGTCCTCGAACCATTAACAGTCCATGCTATTATAAAATTGCTCTGTTGCAACATGCATTTTTCTCGTAAGACTATGATCAAGACGAATCTTTTTATGGATAATCGAAGATTTTCGTCTTGTATTTTTAAATTAAAATATTATCTTTGAGTGGTTGAAAAGTTCCAAGCTTTCTTCTATCAACTTTTCAATGTTCTTCCCTTTAACCTATGTAATATGTATGAGCTCAACTTTTCTTCTAAAACCCAAAAAAAAAAAAGAATTGATCAATTTTCTGTATAATTAATTCAGAGAGATTACGTTTGATTATAGAGTTTTTATAGTTGGATTTAAAAAATAGTTTGGATCCTTGACTAAAATTTTCAAATCTTCTTGTTAATAATTAATATACGTTTGATCACACAAAAAGTTACTATTTCAAAAAAAAAATTATGTTAATTATTTAAATTCATTCCATAAAAATTATTATCTTCCAAGCTTTCATGGTGTCAAAATATATTTTATTTATATATAAAATTTTATTAGCTTTAAAAAAATACGGTGATGGACGATGATAAGAGTGTATGTCGAATTCTATAATGATTCCGTCTTGATCTTAAAAAAGGTTGCAAATATTTTCAAGAAATGTAAAAAGGTAAGCTGTTATATTTTGTCGGTCTAATTATAAAACTAAACAAATAAGAGTAAAAAAAAGAGGCAAATAAATTGAACACGTGAAAATCATTACTGCGAATGGTCTTCATCGTAAAAACACATTCAACCACCGTCCGAAGCCGAGCCCTAAAATATGCATGAACTTGGCCTATCAATTCCGTAAAAGTAATTGAGACAAATACTAATAATAATAATAATAATAATAATAATAATAATAATAATAATAATTAGTGTTGTAAGGATGTGTCTTGGTTATGAGCTCGAGAATCATATATTATATTAAGAACAAAAAAGCAAAGTCGCATTTGCCATAATTGAGCCGTTGCTACAACAGTAAAGAAATAAAATTAAGCTTTTGGTTACTGACATTTGCGGTCGATCCATCGTAAAACTATGACTTAGCTTTTAGCGTGTGATATCGTACAATTTTTGTTTATATCAATTGCACCAACGAAAATTATTTAAGAGCTTGACATACTTAGAAAAAACTAAATCCATACCAATTTTGACAAATCTCTATTCAAAGCACATTAAAATTTTTTTTAAAAAAAACATGGGGTTTCAATGAAAAATCAGTTGCAAAATGAAATCGATGAAGAAGTAAAATTTCAAAGGAAAAAGTTACAATGTGTCCATTGAAATTCCAAATCCGTAGGACAACGTTACATTTTCAATAAAAATCCGACAAAATAATCTGTTGTAAAATATCATCGAGTTCCATTGTCACACCGATGCAAATTATAGTGGCTAAATTAGTCAGTAATTATTTGGAAAATGGTTAAGAAAATCTATTAAATATTTACAACTCACAGTCGTTACAAATACATTAATACTAAGAAATGAATTTACAGAGAGTATATGTTAGAAGAAAAAAAAATATAGCTTTTGAGTTCCCTATGGAAATCCATCGTTATAAATATTAAAATTAAATTCTATCGTCAGAGTTTTAGTTATTGAGACTGTTTATATTGCAAATATCCGTTACAAAGGTTTTGTAATTGATATTTTAAATAATGAATTATTATTATAAAAATAAAATTCTAAACCTAAAAATGAAAGATTAAATTCAATATGATATAAAAATCCTCGTTTATATGTTGTAATTCTTTTAATTTGGTTTCCATAACTGTCAATTAGATTGGTGTAAGAAAATGTAGTGAATGGACTCTCGTAGGAGCATGCGCAGCCTCTAATCGTATGGACAACTAACTTATGCTAAGTGGCTACATTGATAGTGTGACGTTTCAATTTATTTAAAAAAAATTAAATTAAATTCTAAAAAGATCCTAATCAGGAGATGAATTAGTCAATTGATGCTCCATAAACATTGGTAGCCTCTCACCCTTTCACCCACCCTTAGGGAGCAAAATAATTCACATAATCATTTTGATTAGAGAAATAAATTGATTTTTGATTTGAAATGTTGCCGTTTTAAGGGACTAATTTGGTCGCTTTCTCCCACGCACACACACATATATATATACAATTAAGCAAACTGACAACGATAATAAATCTGAAAATGTAATTTTTTCTTTTATGAATGAGAATATAATGATTATTATTGGTAATTGATTATTAGTATGACCTTTCCAATTCGATATTGCAAAAATATCTCCGCATACTATTTTAATTTTACTTCAGTCATTACCCCTTCTAAACCTTAATTTTCTAAAAAAACAATTATGCAAAATAACATTTTCACTTGTCATTCAAACTTCTTAATATCCGAATCCCTCGTCTATTCCTTTTATAAAATAAAAATATGGAAAAACAAAAGAAAAACGTCATTTAACAAATGGGTTTTAGAAAATGGATCATAACTTTCAAATATTCAAAATTTTAATAGAGAGAACACGAGAAAAAAACCATTTTGAATGAGATTAAGAGAAAATATACGATTTCAATTCAGAAATTATATATATATATATATATATATATATATATATATATATAATGATGATGACCACGCATTCATATTATCCATGAACAAAAGTAACAATCTTTCTTTTATAACGATATACTAATAATCATACGTAAGAAATTTTGTATGATATAATGTAAGTTTATATAAATAGACACAAGCATGCATAACTATGTACATAGACTGATAGACATATACATACATACGTATATAATGTTGTATAAATATATAGCATTGAATAATATTCATTATTGTTGTTAGCCACGTGATAGCATAGCTGGAAACATGCCACAGGTGATGCACTGATGTAAGCGAATGTGATGTCTGAAAATGTTATACAATAATTGAAAGGGGAAAGTTTATTTCTTTTAAAACCATTGGCGATAAACCATTTTCATTTTTAATAAACCGATTTATCTGTCCAAATTAATTGCTGTTACATGCTATGGACGGTTCAAATTAAGCAAGACAATTTATAAAGAAAACGTGTTATAATAATTAGCTGGATTCAAAACCTAAGCATCAAATAATTGAAAAGAGATTGTCACTGTCAAGCAAGCAAGAGTGCAAAACAAGAAAAAAATAGAAAGAAAGCAAAGATTAGTATCAATGTGAACAAAATAACATGCAAGAAAATTGGTGGCACTAAATATACTTCGTATTGACGTCTTAGATATTCCGTTTTATTTTCGTTTCCACAAATTTTATAGAAAAAATATCTCAATTTCTATTTCGCGAGAATCGGTTATCCAAGATTCAGAGTTGAGTACCCACGAATATACATACCCGTATAAACAAGATTTAAATCTAAAAATGAATCAAATATTCATAAAAATCACACACCATTAAAACCAAAAATATATTTAAAATCTGAAAAATTCATTTCTTTTCGAATATTTATAGATTCCTAGAATTTTTGTCAAAGACACATTGATCGTCAAAATTTAGATATTTTGATAATTAATTTTAAGAAAATTCATACTATTTTGGCTTTTTTATATATTTATAGATATCTACCGATATTCTGTAACAATTCGAGGCCGCTATGGAATGATAGAGCTATCCCCACACACCAACGCAAAAACTTTTAGCGTGCTTTGTCCTCACTCGCACACATCCCGGAAAGTACTTCCCAGGAGATCACTCATCGTAAGACTACTCCAAGATCAGCACGCTTAACTTTGGAGTTCTCTCGAGATGGGCAACCGGAATTAGAAAGATCCGAGGGTTATGTAGATATGGGACTACACAGTCTAAGATAACTTAAAAGAATTAATTGAGCTACTCATAGCAACAAGATGCATTTACCTTTCCGGTTGTCTATCTCGAAAGAACTCCCGTGACAACCCAGGATACCGTAGGAGGGCGGAGAGTGATCGTCGGTGCGAGAGGCATGGACAATGGGCGGCTCCTGACGAACTTCTGGGTAGGGGTACAGGGATGAAGCGGACGCACCGAAATGAGAGGGATCTGAGGGCTGTATAGGTATGAGACTACACAGTCTAAGATAACTTAAATGAATTAATTGAGCTACTCATAGCAACAAGATGCATCTACATTTTCGGTTGCTCATCTCGAGAGAACTCCAAAGTTAAGCGTGCTAGCTCTGGAGTAGTCTTAGGATGAGTGAACTCTTGGGAAGTACTTTCCGGGATGTGTGCGAGTAAGGGCAAAACACGCTAAAAGGTCATGTGTTGGTGTGTGGGGACAACTCTATCATTCCGGTCTCGGGTCGTTACAACTCCAAAGTTAAGCGTGCTGACCTTGGAGTAGTCTTAGAATGGGTGACCTCCTGGGAAGTACTTTTCGGGAAGTGTGTGAGTGATGACAAAACACGCTAAAAGATCTCGTGTTGGTGTGTGGGAACAACTCTATCATTCCGTATCGACCTCGGATCGTTACATATTCTATCATGAAAAATGAAATCCGACTTCGTTTTCATTTAAAATCGAATAACCGTTTTTCAGGTACCTAAGAGACGAGGTACCCGCCAACCCACATGTAGCGGGTTTAAACGCCCGGCCCTAAAAGATACTGATACAGACATTAATTATGAAAAACAGCACGTGCATAAGAGAAAATGTAACTCGAGTTGATAAGATTGGTCGGGCGAACAATTGCAGTTCTTAGTAACAAAAAATAACACACAAGAAAATATGAACGCAAAAACCCAAATTAAAAACTATTATTAGTCGACCTAAGGATGCGAATACGTACAATACCTATGAACAAGAATAATTCGCATGAAAAAACATATGCCTACATTTCCCGAGCGATACACAACGTATATATACATGCATACATATATATATATAACATACATATATTTTCATCAAAAAAACATACATACATATATACACACAAAGCACAAACCAAACAAAAAGTATGTTGTTAGACACGTCAGTCAAAATAAAGATGAGAAATCAAATTGTTTTACATGATTTGAGTTAGTCTATCCTGAAGGTCTGTTATGTCAATCCTCGCGGGATCATCAACCTGCAAAAACAAATTCTTTTGAATGAACTCGGAAGCATTATCACTATAGACGACAAATAAAAAAATATTTCACATACATGCAACCCCTAAGTTTTATGACTACAATGAATCCCATGGGCCAACCATTATCAAAAAAAAAAATAAAAAATTACAATGAATCATAACTTTTTTGTACAAATATCAAATGTTTTCTTACTCATATGAACATCATATAGTTATAAATTTAGCTACCAAAATGCTCGATTTCATCAAGGTTTTATCTTTGTGCTATAAAGATTATGGTTCCGGCTCTTTTGTGGTTAAAAGTGGAGGTTACTATCTTTAGCATGTGAATAATTTACTCTAATCTTTTAGTAGGCATTTATATATATAGTCTCATCTTGGTGATATTCAATAACATATCCAGAAATAGATAACAGTCAGTTTATTGGTATATGATCTATCTATAACATGCTTTGTGATATTCTTGATGATTATTTTTTTCTACCGAAAATCAAACACACGTACCTCGATTTGTATGGTGTGAATCCATCGATCGTCTACTTTAGATGACATGCAACTATGAACACAAAGGCCTTGTTCATGAACCACTTGGAGAAAGTCCGACAACCTCGGTTGGACACAGCGGCTACTGATCGAAATCTCGACACCGGACAAAGAACGATGAACCTCCACCACGTCACTGTCTCTTGAGCCCTCGCTCTTGTTATTAGCTTCTTCACTCTCGAAGCCTCCAGACAATAGAGTGAGTTCGTCTCTCTTGGAACTCAGTTCACTGATGTTTCTCTGCAGATGCTTTATGTAATTGACCGCCTCGTTCACTTGATCTGATGTTGAACGTTTTCCCTTAAGGAAAAAAGAAAAGAAAAAAGGATACACATCAAGAATGGAACACGAGCTAAGGTCATGTCCAAATACACAAAAAATCCTTTTAAGATTACAGTGTTACAGATCTAGAAAATTTTGAGGCGTTCAATGGGGAAGAACATGACAAATTAACTCAAAGGGAAAGTCAAAAGTAAAACACTTTAACCCACGTTTTATTACTGTCTTCTTCTTACACAGGAGACAAAATCAATTGTCGAAGACTTTGATGTTCAGAGACGAAAACCAAAGGCCAAGTCTTTTCATGTTTGGAGACGAACTCAGAGATATTATGGAGGAAACCCAGTTGAGAAAAAGCAAGCATTTCCACAAAAAGGATCGAAATCGAATTAGGGTTTTGCTACATCCGCGAGCTACTCATAACGTGAAAGAGAGAGAGAGAGAGAGATGGAAATAGGAGAAATTAGGGTTTTATGGAGGACCTTGATGAAGTGGAGAGGAAGAAGAGAGCGAAGAGTGGCGTAAAGAGAAGCCATTTCTTGTCTCCTTTGTCTTTCGAGCTCTCTGTGAATCATCTTCTCTCTGTTATCTTCACTTCCGCCAGGTCTAAGCTTCTTACAACTTCTTGTGATCTTCTGTGGATCAGAATCGCTCATGTCTCTGCAAAAGAATCTTCTGGTCTCTGCAACTTCTTTAGGCCAAACACGACGACGACGACGACGCAGACGAGACGACAAGATCTGATGTTGTGGGATTTTGTGCTCGTTGTTGGGGATTTGATCTGGGGTTGGGAAGAAGAACAGCTCATGGCTTTGTTGTAAAGGGATAATTATTAGAAGCTGGTCCAAAAATTAAAACAAAAGAAAATAAGATTTATTTTTTCTCTCAATGGAAGAAGATTTTGTACGTATTTTTTATTTAAAAGGAGTAGATACGTTTGTTAGAAGTATCAGAAAAAAAAAAAAACAAAGATACGTTTGTTAGTCTTCTTGATCTTGTATTCATTAATGGGATGTGCCTTCGAGATTCCATTATTAAATATTGTTTATATTAATTAGTTAATTAAAGCAATTAGGGATTGCATAAGCCGTGGTTAAGAGAACCTGCCGACCATATTTCCAGGAAAAAGTTAAATCAAAATATCGCAAGCCAAAATTGTATTAACATATTTCAATACTTTTTGCTAAAATTTTCAAATAAAAATGAATATTGTTATCTAAAAAATAATATTTCCTCTTAAAGAAATAAAATTCCATAAAAATACATAAAATATATTTTCATATAAACATACCAATTATTTTAAAATTTTCATACAAATATATACATTTTAAAAATATTATGAAATGGTTAAAACTTATCTAGTTCTCCTTCGTAAGTAAAGCAATAGTAGAAGTCAATTGATAATTCTTTGTGCATATTATTTCGTTGGATCTTCTTAGTTACAAATTTCAAACTAGTTAGAGTTGTTTATGCCTTGCGTTGGTATTGATTTTCAATTAATTGATATGCTATTTTAATTAAATTAGGTGTATTTCTACGTTACAACACCAAGGTTTTTCTTTAAATTGTAACAGATTATAAGAAACATATCTTATATCTAGAATAATCGTTATATGTGTATGTTTTACAATCTTATTATAAGAAATTTGTATATAATTATTATAAATAATTATGATGAATTTTTTTGCCAATAATATTTTAATTTTCATTTTGGATTTTTTATATTGTATCAAGAGATTTTGTAAGATTACGATAATATTTAGATTTATTTATTTTTATCTTTTAGATATTTATATTATTTAAATAAGATATTGTAAGATTGGATTTCATGTCTTTTGACACATCACACTGTTTCAATATTCTTATGGAATATTAATTTTACTACTAACCATATATTAAATAGTAAAATTTGAAAACAACAAACATTTGGGAATATACTAACAAAAAAAAATTTGGGAATACATATACATAAACACAACTAATTGGCCTTTGAGTTAATGATTGAACATTTAAAAAAAATGATTTCCGGCACTGCCGACATATATTTTATTCGGATTAAAATGGTGGTACATAATGCAAATTAGGGTCCAACTTTAAAATCTTTGACCAACAACGACATAATCTCCTTTGTATATAATTTAATATTTAATTTACTTCGACACATATCTATATACATTCCCACACATCGTTTTGTCTTTAGATTAATTAATTCAGACCACGTTATAAATTATATGCAATGTTAATTAGAGGTTAATTTGATCACAATTAATCATTCTCTTTATCGATTAGAATGAGATCTATTATTGCGATAACCCATCATGAATTCAACTAATTGATATGTTAATTTTAATTATTTTAATGCGTCCATATGAATTAAATTTATTGTATCCCATTAATTTGGCTGTTTTTTCTATATTGTGGATATGTAATGTAAATAATTTCAGTAGAAACAAAAAAGATGTATGTACATAAATTTTTAAATAAAGAAAATAGTATGAAATATTATAACTATTTTATTTGATTTTTTTTAGACTACAATTGAGAAAATATCAATCTTTTCTTAAATAATATTGATTTTAATAAGTACTTCATTTTTCAGAAAACTAATTCACTGTGTAGCGGTTTTTCTGTTGTGATGTAATAATATAACATCAAACATATGAAAACTGTGTTGCGAATGATTGAACCTCTGTTTATGAAATTTAAATCATTGACCAACCACGGCATAATCTCCTTTGCATAGAAATTTAATATTTAATTTACTTCAAGCCTTATATATTCACACGTTATATTTTAAGTTCGAAGGATTAAATCACAATATAAATTACTTGCAATGTTATTAGAGATTAATTAGGCCGCAATTCATCAATCTTTCCATAGATTCTATCATTTGTAGCAAACTTTGGACTATATATAAAGAGAACTCGTAAAATTGGCTTTTATATTACATGCCCATTAGAATTTGCGATTCCAATCCCCAAAGGTCCATTTACCTTATGGGCCGGGCTGCAACTTCCACAGGTTCTAATCGAGTTTGTATTGGGCTTTTATTGGGCTTCCAAATAAAAAAAGTTGGCCCACTGATTTAAGTAAGCACAAAGTAAGGTACAAATGATCATCAAACAGTGTTTTGAGAAGAAGCAAGTGGCAATCCATGTAGTAGGGTGTCAAAGATCTGAAATTTGATCCGAATCCATCCGAAAAATGATGGGATTTGAACTTAAATTTGTACGTCCCAGAAAAAAATCGAGTTTTTTTTACCAGACTCAAATCGGGTTTCAGATTTAAAATATTAATTTAAATGAAGAAAAAACCCTTTTGAACCCGAATCTTAAAGTACCAGACTTCGGCTCGGTTTTATAGACCCAAAAAAATTCAGGCCGACTCGAGTCCAAACATGATACTCTCAGGCTGAGTGCGGACTCGGTCCGGATCGATACGTTTGACACCCAGTATAGTGCAGGCTACAAAAGCTAGAAAACCAAGATGAACCAAAGTCCAAACCAACCAAAACCCAAAAGGTATGATCTTTATAACTCTAAAATGTTAGAACACATAAGAACCAATTGATATGATATCTCTATCTACAATGACCAGAAGAGAACTACACGCTGGCTAAAGATCCTAGGAAGAAAAAACCCTCAGTGGCGCTTCCTCCCAGTCTTGAAGGGGAACTGCGAAGGCGGTGAGGGAGAAAACTCGGACGGCAACTCAGGTGGACTAATCTCTCCGGTCAGCATTCCCACGACGTTTTTCATCGAGGGTCGTGAAATGGGCGACTTCTGCAGGCACTGCAGAGCCACTTTGATGCATAACAGTGCTTGTTCTTGATCCAAAGACTGTAACTTTTGATCGACCAGTTCGAGAAGTCTCCCCCTTCTCGCTAGCTTACGTGCCCACGACATTAGATTTGCGCGTTGGATCTCAGACGCGGTTCCCGTCACCTCAAGTGGGCGTCGTCCAGAAATCAGCACCAACAGCAATACACCGTAGCTATAGACGTCGCATTTTTCAGACACATCGCCTATGTTACCGTATTCTGGTGCCACATAACACATGGTTCCTCTCATGCTCGGTGTGCTGCTTACTCCGACACTCCTAGTTATCTCACCACTCACCGAGTCGTGACTGTTCCTTCGAGCTCTCCATAGTTCACCACTTAACCCATCTAGCCACCAATCTATGCTGCTTCCTATGCTGTTAGTGCTACCGCCTCTTGTTTTCTTCCTGTTCTTCTTTCTCTCGGAGTGCATATCTTCCTCTTTGTGCCACCATTGATCCACATTGCTACCCAGATCATCACTGTGGAATTCTGATTCAAGAGTTTTCTTCTTCTTTTCCTTCTTTTTCTTGGCGAGTTCTTTGCCGTACTCTTCCTTCCACCACTCCCTCATCATCCTACGCTTCTTCATCTTCTTCTTTTCCTTCTCTTCGTCCAGTGAAATCCACCATTCTAGTCTCTTGCTGCTCTTTTTCTTCTCCAGTCTCTTGCTTGACGAAGGAGCTGTCGTCTCCCTGATCCATTCGCTGCTCGGTCTCTCCTTCTTCACCTCGGATCCAATCCATTCCATTACATAATCCTTCACTTTCCCTCGATCCGCAACACCCTCTTGCTTCCACCACCAATCTTTGCTCGATCCGTTCTTGATCTCTTTCCCATTCCTTTTCAACACGTTACCAGCATCCTTATCGCTCTCAACACCGTCCAAGACGCTGACTTTATCCGCCATTTCTGGCGAAACGGAGGCGGCTGTAGCTGTCGTCTCCGGCGATTCGGCCGGTGCCTCTATTGTCTCCGGAGAAGCAGTCACAGACCCAGGAACCTTAGGGACACTCTCCGGCGACTGATCCACGCAGCCGAAGTTGAATTCCTCATACCCAGTTGTATTAGTTATCACACTCTCGACTTCCTCGCTGACTTTACCCGCCATTTCTGGCGAAACGGAGGCGGCTGTAGCTGTCGTCTCCGGCGATTCGGCCGGTGCCTCTATTGTCTCCGGAGAAGCAGTCACAGACCCAGGAACCTTAGGGACACTCTCCGGCGACTGATCCACGCAGCCGAAGTTGAATTCCTCATACCCAGTTGTATTAGTTATCACACTCTCGACTTCCTCCACTACAGATCCGTAGTCCTCCGCTCCCCCGCCGCCGACATTACCATCGACCTTGAACCCATCATTCTCCGGCGCCACAGTGACCTCCACTTGGTCTGATTTCAGCCTCGCGAGACCAAAATCGGCGATTTTAGCGGCGAAGAATTGATCCAATAGTACGTTGCTGGGCTTTATATCTCCATGAATCACGAGCGGATCCAAGCTGTGAAGGTACTCGATCCCTCTGGCGATGTCAACCGCGACCAAAAACCTTCGATTCCACTCCATAAGCTCCGGACATCTCCGGTGAAGTAGAGCGTCCTGGAGATTCCCATTCTCCATGAGCTCGTACACGAGAAGCATACGGCGTCGCTTCCGGTCGTGTGAAAACCCTAGAACCGAGATGACGCGAGGTGAGTCAAGCTTCGCGGCGAAGAACAACTCGTTCTGGAACTCGCGCTCCCCCTGCAGAGACCCAGAATCCATTACCTTGACGGCGACCTCCCGAGCGGCCGAGGAAGACACCGGAGCAACGGATCCGCGGAAGACGGAGCCGAACCCGCCTTGGCCCAGACGGTTCTCCGGCGAGAAGGAGGCGGTGGCGCGGCGGAGAGCCGAGTAGGAGAACTCACGCGGCGGCGGAGGCGAAGAGGTCTTCGAGGGATTTTCCTCCGGCGGTCGCTTGCGGCTGATCTTGCAGAAGCATACGGCAAGGGTGAGGAAAAGAGAGATTCCAGCGCCGGCTCCGGCGACCGCGAGCGGCGGAGATACTCGCGAGGTGGGTTCTTCGTGAGTCACCGGAGAGACACGTGTAAACAACGGCGAAGGTGCTGAGTACAATAAGATCGGAGGAGGCGGCGGCGGCATCGTCGCCGGAATGGGTCGCGATGGCATAGCGGATTGGTCAGAGGAAGCGAACCATACAATGCGAAAAACTTGTCCTTTCTCCGGCGATATTTGCAATTTTATTAAAATTAAAATAATTCTATTATTAAATGAGAGGGAAAAGAGGCGAGCTGTTATGAAATGGAATTTTTGTGGACAGAGATTTTAATCACACTCTT